AATACCTCAGATTCTGACACCCATGAATCCAGAGCTGGGAGCAGGGCAGAAATTCTCACCTGGCACAAGCTGGAGAGCAAGGGCTACACTCCTGCAGAAGCATCTCCCATTCCTCACTCACCCCCAGGAAATCAGCTCCCATCCCCTGGGCTCAGCTCCTTCCATGGCCTTTATCAATGTGAGCTCATGCAAGCCCTTGTTTTTCACAGAATCACAGAATCATGCAATGGCTTGGGTTGGAAGGGATCTTAAAGATCATTTAGCTCCAATCTCCTCATCCAGTTCCATTTTCATTGCACCTCTAAAACATAAATAATTTCCCTTTCTCTTAGGAGTACTGTTGAGCACCAGCACACTGCAGATGGGGAAGGAGCAGTGTCACAGAGCCACTGAGGTCATCTAGACAGGAAAAGAATAAATGGCTTTTTACATAAGAGTCTGCCTGCTGGAATCAGAGGGGTGAGTCACAGCAGAGAGGCTGATCCCACTGCATCCCCTCTTTTCTTGCCAGCACAGCACTGCACAAAAGTCCCATCTAACTCCTAAAAATGAACCCAGCTCAGCCACAGCCTCATCCTCTCCCTCATGGGTGTTTGCATTGGCTGCAGCAGCCTAAAACCAAAAGGCAATCCCAACCACTTGGATCTGGTGACTTCCAGAAAAGACCAAAGTCCTCCAGGTGCTCAGAGCCATCACTGATGCTGACCCAACTCACACTTCACAGGGGCTCCTCCAATGTGCATGGAAGTCAATAAAACATAAGGTGGGAGGAAACTCCTGCCTTTTACCATCTAGTCTGTTTATTCCTTGTCTGAAACTTCTGGAAATATGTCCTTGCAGGGGTCTGAGGAAAGCATCAGGCCCTGGTCACTGCTCTCTCACCTGCTTGCTGTACCAGATCTGCAACTCCCACCCTGAGCCTCTTCCTGCAGCAGCTGGAAATGCAGTTGTGACTCCAGTCCAGAGTCCTGCATAAACCAGGAGTTGTGTCTGGCCCAGAACCTCCTCTGTAACCCCAAAGTTCATGGCAAACATTGCCATATATAACATATATAACCTCCTCTTTCACCCAGCTTGCCAAAGACAACCAGAAACCCTTTAAGGACTTGGAATGATTCCCCTCACACAAGTCCTAGGGGGACACCAGGACAGCCCTGACACAGCCACCACCCACACTGTGCTTCTCAACCAGGATTTTGTGTGACAGGGAGGGATCAGTCCTGCTGCAAACTCAATCTCTCCTTCAAAGGCCAACCCTCCCTCAGAGGTCTGGAAATCAAGCCTCCCACATAGTTCTTGAAAAACACCCTTTGATTCAATTAAGGAAGCCAACATCACTAAAGCAGGCTGAAAACAGCATCACAGAGGAGAACCTCCAGGTTAAATCAGAATTCTGCATTCAAGGAAAGTGATAGAAACCACATAGATATATGTGATACACAACATATAAAAGACTTTGGAGGTTGTTTTTATTTGATGGGCTTCTCAGAACAGCTAACTCTAACAGTCAGACATAAAGACCTCTGTGTAAATGTGATTGAGTGCCCACAAATTCACCTGAAATGTTCCCACTGTGTTTGGGAATGCTGAGAAATTACTCCAGAGCCTTTGCCAAGGTGGACAAGTTCCTTTCTAAAATCTCCTTTGTCCCACACCAGCTTTGACCTGCATCACATGGACTTCACCCATGCAAACACTGACTCCTAGGTGGAGTAAATCAGTCCAGCCATTAAATACAGGGCCTGTATGTACAGCAGGAATAAATTGTATAAAGGTTTATAGAGGCTTTGCAGGTTTGTCTTCACACTGCCAGCACAGCTTCCCAAGGCTGGACCATGCACCTCCTAAAATGTCAAAAGTGGAACTCAGACAAATGCTGCTGAAGTAGCAAACAGGCTGATGAGCAAATACCCAACTCCTCTGTCCCCACAGGACAGATATCCCTACACCAACCCATCTTGGGCAAAGAGAACCAAAATTTGCCCAGGAATCTCACCTGAGATGTTTTTTATTGTCCAACCTTGGAGCAAGACAACACAAAGCTCTGGGAATGAAGGAGCAGGACTGGAGCATCCATATTTTCCCCAAAATAACAAGTCAGGTCACGCTGCCTGGGACACATCCCAGTTTCACCAGTTGCCACTGGTGGAACTGGGATTCCTCATGAATGAACCTGCTCTGTGTTTAGCTTGAGAGCCAACCTGTGGCTGCTATGAGGGATTGAAGAGCAGGAGAGGGTGAGGGGTAAAGGAAAAAGGGGCTTTTCTCTTACCCAGACCCTGGTTCTGCTGCTCCCACTCAATGGTGTCAGGAACCTGGTAGGACACCCCAGCCAGCTGGGCCACAGGGTTTTCCAGGCCAGCCAGGGGCTCCTGGGAGGTCTCCCCTGGAAGTGTGAAGCCTGGCAGCTCCATGTCACCCTCCATGCTTTCATCCATCAGGTCTATGTCTTTGTCCTCCTCATCTTCCTCCTCCTCCTCTTCCTCTTCCTCCTCCTCCTCTTCATCCTCTTCCTCTTCTTCGCCCTCTGGCCAGGGAGACAGAAAAGAAATGTCAGGGAAGATCTCACCAGGCAGAAGGTTCACAGATCTCTCTAGGGGAGCACCAGGCAGAGCAGCTGAAGGAGCTTGTGCCTGTTCTCTGGCAGGAAAGGCACCCACAGGGGCTCATCTGGAGATGAAACTTGCTGGGGAGCAAGGAGATGTTGTCTCAGACTCTCAAATTAGTGGGAAATACAATGATTTTTTGCTTCCTAGCAGCAGGGTGCAAACAAGGATGTGCATGTGCACCAACACCTGGGCATCTGTAACCACAGAGCTCCCTGCTTAACTAATCACAGCTCAAGTGAGAGCTCTTCTTCTGATTTCCAGCCCTGGAGGCAGCAATGAGCTGGTTCTGTGTTTAACTCTGAGACTTTCCCAGCTCTGGAAAGGGCACTGCTTTCAAGACCAAATTGCTCCAGGCCCCATCCATCCCACCTGGCCTTAGAAAGTGTTGGAAAGAAGGCAGCACAGCCAACACTTCACAGGAGAGCTGGTAAATGGGACTTCGAGGAAATTCCTGTGAATTCAGTGCCCATGTGAATCTCCCTGCCCATGGGAGGGAGGAGTTGAAACAAGATGAGCTTTAAGGTCCACTTCAACCAAAACCAATCTGTGATTCCATGAATTCTGCACTACAGCAGATACCCATTTATTCCAAAACTGTCTGTACTGTTAGCATATGGAAAAATAAATATTTATTTAAGCCAGTATTTCATCACTGTAATCTAAAATGGCAACACAGGGACCACTGTACTGGAAGAAACCAAAGGGTTTTTTTCCTATTTTCTCCTATTTCCAACCACAACTGGCTGCAGATGCTGAAGGAAATCTGGAGCAGGGCAAATACAGAGACAGTCTTCCCACAGTTTCTTTTCCCAAGTTGCAGCTACCAAAGTCTCAGGGACATCCTATGCCAGAATTTGCACTGGAGCTATTTAATAGCTGCTGATGGAGCCACCCACCTGGGAAAGATAATATCTGGAACAATGGCATGCTTTGAGTTTCTCACAGTTCCTTTTTCAAGGCTGAGAATTGAAACATAGTATTTATGCACTTTTATCTAATTTACACCAACTCTGCTCAGCCTTGTAGAAAAATCCCCTCCTTGTGCAGTCAGCCTGGGAGAGCCCATCACCCTCATCCAGGCACTAAAAACTAACACTCCAGCCAAAACACCCTTTGTTACCCAAATATCCCTTTATTTCTGCTATAGTTGTACCTCATACAGGTTTGGTGGCAATCCAGCCTGGATTAAATGACCTCCACAAATTGGGATATCACAAGAGATAAGAATATAAGAAATCAGTGCATGTTATAAACCCACTGATCCACTGTGCTGTGCCATGGCATCTCCCTCCCCTGTAATTCAAGGATTTGCTTCCAAACACTGCCTGTTTTCCTCAGCTCACCAGACAAGACAATCCCAGTGCTGCCTTTCCCTCCTAGCCCTGCATTCCATACAAATGAGCTGCTGCTGGGATTTAGCTGCATCATCCTGCTAGAGCATGGCTTTTGGTACCTGGAAAGATCATTCCTACCACCCAGAGCATCTAATGGAGCTCCCAGGGATGATTAAATTCCCATTGCATTTTACAGGCAGTTTCTGTATTATAATGTGCCCAGCATTTAGAATCAAGAGAAGAATTTTCCCTGTCAGAATGCACATTTTCATACAAAAAACACAACTGTGAAGCTGAGAGTGGCTCCTGGGGAGTGCTCACAGGACACCTGCAAAGGCAAGTGAATGTAGGTGTTTTTCCCTCTGCTGAGAGGGAAACACAGCAATCAACAATCCCAAAACTTACCAGCAGAAACTCTCAACAGCCAGAACACCATGAACAGAGCTTTTCCCTAGACTGGGTGTAAAAACCAGCCAAGAGAGAACAGGCATCGGATTTTTATCTCTGAAACACTACTCTGGGACAAGGGTTTTAGAAGCTTCTTGTGATTTTTAGCAATCCAAGTGACACACACCTGCCAGGATGGAGTGCTGAAGCCACAGATAGCCATCTCCCTGTCTCCAAAGCCTCCAGGCAGCCAAGCTGAACACCCAAATTGAAAATGCTGAGACTACTTATCACACCTGATGATCACCAAGCTTCATCAATCACCAGGCAGGCACAGCAGAAAGCTGTGAATAATGAGATCCTTGTAGCACAGCCCCTGCAAGGAGGGGAGGAAAAGGCTCTGAGCTTGTTCCCTTCTCCTCTCTGGCTCGTTCCTGCATCTGAAAACAGCTTTTTAAGCCCCATCCTGAAATGCCAACAGCTTGCCTAGCTGCAAGGTGCAGTGCAGAGCTCCACTTGGTGGTCACAAGGAGGAAGCTACACTCCCAAAAAAACCCCAAAAAACTTCCCAAGGGTGGGATTTCAGCAGAGGAGGCTCAGCAGGCAGCCGTGGGCAGGCTGGGCAGTCCCATAAAGATGGGAAATAAAACGAGCAGCACACAGCTGAAGCTCAGGCTGGAGGTTTGTGCTTCACACAAGATCCTTCTACAAAAGTCACATTTTCCCTCCTAAACTGGCACATTTTGGCCTTCAAAACGCCTCAGCAGCAGATGGAAAGAAAACTATTGGGAAAGACAAAGAGTGAAAGTGTAAAGCCCAGCAGGTTCAGAAGTAATCCAGAACTGAAGTGCATTTGCAGCTCCATGTGAACTATTTTTGTGTGACATGGAATGGTTTAGGTTGGAGAAACCCTCTAAGATTACAGAGTCCAACTGTTAATCCTGTACTAAAGCACAGCCCCAAGTGCCACATCCACACATCTTTTCAATCTCTGCAGGGACAGGGACTGGGCAGCCTGGCACAATGCCTGACCACCCTTTTGTTACAGAAATTTTTCCTAATATCCAACCTAACTGAACCTCCCCTGCTGCAGCTTGAGGCTGTTTCTTCTTGTCCTATCATTCTTGTCCAGGGAAAGGAGTCTGAGATAAAAAAACACATTTTCAGCAGAGTTTTTGGGGGTTTCCAGCTTTATTAATAGAAACATTCACCAGTGGGCTTTATCATGGGACTCTGAATTTATCCATTAGTGACACAGGTGAGATCCAGAGCATGGAATTCGCAATTTCAAGGAGGCAAAAGCACCTTGTGCTTGCTCCAAAAGTGAGGCTTTTCACCACAAAACTACACATCCATGCTGATTTCTGTGTCTTAGGCAGGAGAAGTGAGACCACCCCACACATCCCTTGTGAGGCATTTCCCTGACCCAGCAGGAACCCACAGCCTGTGGAATCTGAAGCAAACCACCAGCATCCAACAGGTAAAAGCCACCTCAGGAGCAATTTTTGGGGATGTGACGGCTTGGAAGAAGCTGGAGCTGAAGCCACTGTGCTCATAACCTTGCTGAAGGCAATGGAGCCACACCAGGTTTTCAGCTGAAGAATGATGTTTCTATGTTTAGATATTTTCCATTAATGTTTGCAAACACTCATATTCCTCAGGAGAGCCAGGAAACCATCATTTTGTCAGGCTGAACACACAGCAGAAAGATCTTGCTGTGCCCTGAGCAGAGAGAGGCTCTCAGTGGAAGGTGACAGATTCACTCAGAGAGGCGCAAACTGAATTCAAAGTGCAACAACAAAAAACAAAACAACAAAAAAATCCACAAAAGCCAAAACAAACAAAAATTTAAAAAAAAAAACTCCTCCACATAAAAAAAAAAAACCAAAACAAATTACAAATGAAAGAAGCTGTAGGGCAAAACCTGGAGTTGTCATTTGCTCTATCCTTTTCCTGCCCCTTCTCCCTCTCACCAAACTCAGTGGATAAAGATGTCTAAATGGTACCACAGAGGATTGCTGTGATCTGTGCCAGTTTAAGCTGTGGTTTTACATGGTGTTCAGTGCTGCAGGGTCAGCCCTATGTGCTAATACCACCGTGTAAATACATAAATAATGCTGTGTAAATAACAACAGGATTAGGGGTGGGGGGGTCTGTAGGAGGGAGAGGCACTGAGGAGCCTCTGCCAAATGTTTACTCCCACTGAGGTTCAGTTTCTGCTCTGCTTTTGTGATCACAGCTGATTGTCAAGGCAGGAAGGCCTTTCTAGGACAATTTCTTTATTATTAATGTGTTGCCTTCGTGTGCTCAGTCAATGTCACCGTCCACCAGCTCCAAAATGCTGCCAAGAGCCTTTGCCAGCCTGGAAGGAGAGAGCTGCTAGGAAGATGGACAAGCTGTCACCAAGCAGGGCTCCTGTGGGGCAACAACCCAGGCACAGAAATTCTGCCAAACATCAGGGTAAAACCCCCTGGGATCAGCTCTGCAAGCCCAGGCACCTGCACTGCAGAGCCACCCAAGGCATCTGCAGGATGTGGTGGTGTCTGTGCTCTGGAAAAATCAATCTCTTGGGAAGTTGCAGCATCTGGGCAAATGCACAGAGACAGGGAAAGGATGTTGGGAGGAAACCTGGTGGGTCAGATCCCACACACAAAGCAGGGTGACATAACCCTACCCATGGAAGCTTCAAGAGATTTACACAGCACAGAATCATTAAAGTTGGAAAAGCTCTCAAATAGAGCCCAACCATTCCCCCAGCACTGCCAAGGCCACCACTGACCCACGTCCCCAGCTGCCACATCCACACATCTCTTAAATCCCTGCAGGGCTGGTGACTCCACCACCACCCATTCAGTGATTAAATTTTGCCCTAATATCCAATCTAAATCTTCCCTGGTAGAACTTAAGTTTGCTTTCTCTCACCCAAATTCAAGGATTTCTTCCTAAAACAAAACCAAACTATCTCCAGCAGCATTCACCTCAAAATTGCTCTCACACTGAGCCAGGCTAGAGAGTCAGCTTAGCAACACAAGACTATTTTAAAGGGAGAAAACGCCCAAAATGCTGCAGAACATGCTGCATATAACAAGTTTGCTCCCTGGCTTGCTGCAGAACAGCTCTTCTGCCCCTGGGTGTGCAGGTGTTGAACCAATCAGTATAAAAATGAAGACAAGAAAATGGTGATTTATCAAGTGAGG